ATGATGTTGATGTTTGCCAAGTTAATTGTTAGACTGTCAAGTTGAATGTTGTGATCAACTTTGGGGATGGAACTCCATAGGGAAATGGCCTCTTAATTATCTTTGTTTGTTCAGATATCGACGAGTGTGCCATCAAAACAGACAACTGCAGTCTCCATGCAATCTGTAAAAACACTGAGGGATCCTTCAATTGTAGCTGCAAGCATGGATTTAGTGGAGATGGCATCAATTGTACTGGTAACTATAAATTTCGTTTCAACTGTTTGTGACCAGGTGCTATTTTTTTTTCGAAAAGATGGCTAATTAACAACGATAAGGACTTTTTTTGCGCAGGGATGTAAATAAGACCTACTTAACTTTAACCCTTTAACTTTGTTTTGTTCAGATATCGATGAGTGTGCCATCAAAACAGACAACTGCGGCCTCCGTGCAATCTGTAATAACACTGAGGGATCCTTCAAATGTAGCTGCAAGGACGGATTTAGTGGAGATTACATCAATTGTACTGGTAACCATCAACTTCTATTCCATCTATATCTGAGCAAATATTATTTGTTAAATCATGGCGGTAGTAAGTATATTGATAACGATAAAGAATATTCTGCACGGGGGTACTGCTAAACTTTCTGTCAGCACAGCAATATTTGTTCGCCCTCACCTAACTTCCTCGCGCATTGGCGCATAAGGTGTCAACACGCTGTCGCCAACCAGCTCTGTCGGCCGCTGCAGTGGACATCGCGCTCCAGCACCTCCATCCAGCTCTTTTTCTCTCCTTTTCTGCTGTTCTCCTTTATGTTGTCCTGGTTCTACCCCGCGCCTCCGGCGCCCTTCTGGTGTCCACGTCATTGCGGTTCTCCAGCCATTGTCATATCCTTTCGCCATAAAGTGTCCGATGAACTTCCATCTTCTCTTTCTGACATCCTCGCTAAGGTTTTCCATCTTGGCCATCTCCATCACTTCTTTGTTGGTGATTTTGGCCTGCCGGCGTATCTTAAGTATTCGTCTAAGACATCTGTTTTGGAAGACGTCGATGTTATTTTCATCACATTTTGTTCGATCTTCCATGTCTTGTAACCATATATCAAGACGGGTTCAACCAGAGTCTTATACACCCTGATTTGGGTTCGTCGGTGATGCTGTTAGTGCTTCAAATTTTCTACCATCTCATTAATACCCCTCTGGCTTTGACTACTCTATTGTGGATGTGTGCCTCCACCTTCCTTGGAAACTGTAGCTCCCTGATACAAAATTTTGTCAGCATCCTCTATCCCTTGCCCATTCACTTCTACTGCATCATTTTTCGAGAATTTATTCCTAGCAGCATGCGTTTCTCTACATTGACTTTCAATCCCGCCTTTCCCGCTTCGTGAATCAGCTTATTAGTGTTTATCTGAATGTCCTGTTTACTTGACGATATTAGGGCAACATCATCTGCAAAATCGATATCTTCAATCTTGCAACTTATTCCGGTGCCACTCTTTTGCACTCTTTTCTCGTTACCCAATCAAGAACCAGCAGGAACAGTAGACCTGACATATTGCAGCCCAGTTTTACGCCTGTCCTGATCTTGAACTATTCTGATCTTAAACCATTCTGTCCTCTTCATCTACTAAAGCGCACTCAAAGTCCTTGTAGAGTGTCTTCACCATGCTAATCATCTTGGATGGTATTCCATAGCTTTGCATAATCAGCCACAAGCTTTCCCTGTGGACTGAATCGAATGCTTTTTCAAAGTCCACGAGGTGGACGTACAATGCGGACTGCCACTCTACGGACTGCTCTATTATATTTCTAAGTATAAACATTTGTTCAGTAGTTCCTCTGCCTCGCCTGAACCCAGCCTGCTCTTTCCTGAGTTTCGACTCGACTCCGCTTCGCATCCTTTCGGTCACTCTCACCTTGCTGACGAATGGAAGCAACGTGATCCCACGCCAGTTCTTACATTCGTTCAGATTACTTTTCTTCGGAAGCTTAACTATCAGTCCTTTCCTCCATTTCACTGGTGTTTTTTCATCTTTCCACACTATGTCAATGATCGCCTTGACTTTTATGGTGGCAAAGTCAATGTCAACCTTGAGCAGCTCTTCTTGTATGTTGTCGATACCTGGAGCTTTTCAATTTTTCAGGTGTTTTATAGCTCAATTTATTTCGGCTCTGCTGGGTTCAGTTGTATATATTTCTTCAATCTCATCTGGAGGTTCTATTTAAACTATGTTTACCGGGTTGCTAGGGTTCTCTCTGTTAAGTACCTCATTAAAGTGCTCATACTACCTCTTAGTTTTGCTCTCTTTAGCATTAAGGATGTTACCGTTTTTGTCCTTTATTGCTGCCCTTTACCTTGGTCTATCGTTACTCAACACTTTAGTCGGGGAATAAAGTGTCTTCGTGTGCTGTTGCCGGGCAGCATTTTCAGCTTCATTTGCAATATCGTCGGTCCATTGTCGTCTATCCATTCTAACTTGACTCTTAACTTCTCTGTCTTTCTTTCTGTATTCATCTTGCCATCTCTGTTCTGGTCTCTCTGATCTTGCACCGACTAGCTTCTGCTTGATGGCTTTCCGTCGATCTATTAGGGCCCATGCTTCCTGAGTTAACCATTGCTTGTTTTTCTTTTTTTTAAGCCCTAGCACTTCTCTTCTTTAGATGTATGCTGAACCTTCTACAGACGTCATTGTCTTGGAGTTTTTGTGTGTCAAACTTCTTCCTAATGTTCCTTCTCACTGGTGCTCTTTTGAGTTTAAATCTGATAATCGATCTTACAAGAAAATTGTCACTGGCAACATATGCTGATCTCATGGCTCTTTCATTTATCACCGAGGTTCTTAATTTCCTGTGAACCAGTGTGTGGTCAATTTGATTTTTCGTTTTTCCATAAAGGTACACGCATGCCCGCTTATGTATTTCCTCTGCGGAAATATTGTCTCAGTGATTACCATCTCATTAAAATCAGTTTTTCAGCCATTCTTCATTTTCATTGACTGACCCCATTCCAAGTCGTTCCATAACTCTTAACATTCATATTCCCAGTCATAACTACCATGTCATGCCTGTGTATCTGCTCAGTGTTACATTTATGACGTAGTGTAAGTGTGTTGCCAAATATGGACATGGTGTGATGCAACACCACGAGGTTCAGGTTAGGAGAACAGTTTTCCCCCTTTTTCCATCGCCTTCCTTGTGTTGATGAGTTTTCCTTTGCTTCTACTGGCTTTTCTGAACTTTGTCTTCGGACAATCACATATGTGGAAGTTTCTACATGGATTGGAGGCTATGCCAGGGGAAACCGTAAGATTCGAAAGCTGTGTTCACTTGTATGATTGTAATAGTAGTTGTGTTTACCCTAATTCTGTGAGCTTATGTAAACCTATCAGTTCGTCTATAATTAAAGTGTTGCTGTTGTTGTTGTTGCTTAGATGTCTCTGGTTACTCGAAAGAGTCTTGTTTCACATTCGTAACATCAGCTACCTCTTGTCGTTTCTCATAGAAGTCTTCCTTTGTTTGCTCGTTAGCTTCATTTGTTGGTGCATATGCAAGTACCAATGTAGTGTAGAATCTTGCTTTTATTATCCTCTCATCTATTGTTGTCCAGTCGATTAAGGCCTTTGTTGCTTCTTGCGACATCATCATTGCTACGCGTTGCATGTGTGGATAGTCATCTCGCCCTGAGTATAGGACTGTTTCACCAGTGCTTAGCTGCACTGTACCAGCTCCAGTCCATCGGCACGCGCTGATTCTCATAATCTGGATTTTCATGTCCTTCATCGCTTTCGCAACTTGGGTGGATTTTCCCGCACTACACATAGTTCTCACGTTCCAGTTCCCTATTTTCACTTGAGTTCTCGCGGTCTCTAAAGTTTAGTTGGCCCCTGGCTTTTACCCAGGTATGTCATACTTTGCTCGCATGAACAAGGTCCCACAGCGACCCAAGATATGACTGATTTAGTGTGCTTGAGGTTTCGGTAATCTAATGCTGTTTAATTTGACTGGGATGGATGATTGGCCTAACACTCAACCCCCAACCTGGAGAACCAGGGGCTGTCCTTTGTCGAGTTTCTACCCCTCGACGAATCTAGCAAGGTTGAACCTACCAGGGACCAAAAGTCCCGAACAGCATAGCTTTTAGGATCACTAAAACATACAAGCTTTACCTCCGCGACGAGGTGACGGTCCAAGGTGAGGAACAATATTTGTATAAGGAATTGAAGACAGGCTGAGCGAACTTTGCAGTTAACTTTGTTATCTTAATTACCCAGCTTACAATGCGGTCTTCACAAATCTCAATGCG